GGTGAATCTGTGGGTGGTCTTATCGGAATCGAAGCGGATAATCAACTCCCACTCACGTCACTTTCTTGCTCTCTCCGTTCTCTTCCTTCTTCCCATCTTTTTCTCCCCCTCCAGCATCCGCCTCATCATCATCCAATCCGCCGCCTCTCTTCTCCAAGACGGTGACCAACCGCCACGCGTCCATCCCGACATCAAGATGGTGGTCTTGATTCGGGTTCGTTACATGATCGTTGTCACCGTCTTCAATCTCTTAGCTATTGGATCAATCACTTCTAGCGTCTTCCAAGGATTCTATGGAAGACCTCTGAAATTGATTTCAGCTATGAAATCGAGCTTCACTTCGTTTTTCCCTCTTCTTGCTACTCTCATTTCTAGAGAGTTCATCGCTTTTGGGATTCTTCTGATTCTAGGGTTTGCAGCTTTCTTGTTGACCAAGCTAATCGAGAAAATCATCCTCCCAGATCTCGAAACAGATTTCCTTCCTCTCTCCATGATTGCTGTAATGATCATCTCGGTTATTGTAATCATGATCAAGCTCAATGTCGATTGGATTCTCGCTTGTGTCATCGTTGTTATTGAATCAAAAGTTTGGGGTTTGACTCCATTGAAGAGAAGCAAAAACTTGATCAAAGGAATGAAACGAGTTTCTTTCTCTATAATCTTCTTCTTCGCTGCAACACAATTGACTCTCGGCTGGATCAGCAGAGCTTCCGCTCGGTTCTACAACAACAACGAAAATGGCGAAACAAACGTTTTCTTGGTGCTCCGGATGGTAATCACATCTGCGTTTCAAACGCTTTTGACACTGTATAACATTGCAGCAATCACCGTGATGTATATGTACTGTAGAGCTTGGGAGATTGCACAGGAGTCTGCAAGAGAATACGTAAGCTTGCCTTTTGATGATGATGGTAAAGTTTACAACAACGTCTGATGAATCATGATGATGATGACTGGATTCGTAGACATCCACATACCTATCATTCTAATATGACAAGGAAATCCCAAAACTTAAACTAATATAAAATGAAAATTGGCTCCTCTACATACATGTGTTTTTGTTACTCTTTTATTTAATAAAAATATAATATCATGTTATGGTAAATTCGTCCTACTCGCATGGTTTTATTGTAATGTTTCTCAACACTATCTCTATCGAAATTTTCATCATTTTAGTCGTCGGCCCTATTCATTTTAAAATCGCTGCAGCGGTGATCGATGATACAAAATTATAAGTAACTTGAGATCCAAGTATGTAGACAGTAACACCAATGTTGCTGTAAAAATCGCCGCAGCGACTATATATCTAAATATCGCTATTTTTTTTCAGCGATGCCAGTGCCACCAACGACGTCCATGAAAGTAATCTCAGCGACAACTCTTTTTGTTCTCCACTGTAATCACCGGAAGACATCGCATCAA